CATTTTTTCCCAATTTTTTCCCCATTTTTCCCCCATTTTTTCCCCCACTTTTCCCCCATTTTATTCCCATTTTCCCCCATTTTATTCCCATTTTTCCCCCATTTTATTCCCACTTTATTCCCACTTTTCCCCCACTTTATTCCCACTTTATTCCCATTTTCCCTTCCCACACCTTGCAATCCCTTGGGCAGCTCCATGGATTTGATGATTTGCTCGCTGACATCCGAAGCGCTCAACCCCTGCAGCCTCTTCTCCCAAAAAAGCTGCAAAAGAACCAAAAAAACCACGGAATTTTCAGCACTTCCCGCTTTTCCCAAAAAAATTCCCACATTTTTTCCTCATTCCCACAAAATCCTGGAATTTAAAAATTCCCACATTTTTTCCTCATTCCCACAAAATCCTGGAATTTGGGGGGATTTTTCCCATTTTTTAATAATTTTTTTCCATTTTTTTTCCATTTTTTTTCCATTTTTTTCCCAATTTTTCCCCATTTTTTCCCATTTTTTCCCAATTTTTTCCCAATTTTTTCCCCATTTTTTCCCAATTTTTTCCCAAATTTTTCCCAATTTTTCCCCAAATTTTTCCCAATTTTTTCCGAAATTTTTCTCAATTTTCCCCAATTTTTTCCCTAATTTTTCCCCATTTTTTCCCCAATTTTTCCAAATTTTTTCCCCAAATTTTTCTCCATTTTCCCCCATTTTTTCCCAAATTTTTCTGAATTTTTTCTCCATTTTCCCTCCATATTTTCCCATTTTTTTTCCCAATCTTTTCCCAACTTTTCCCCAATTTCTCCCCATTTTTTCCCCATTTTTTCCCAATTTTTTCCAAATTTTTTCTCCATTTTTCCCTTATTTTTGCCATTTTTTCCCAACTTTTCCCAATTTTTTCCCAATTTTATTCCCATTTTTCCCCGATTTTTTCCCAACTTTTTTCCAATTTTTCCCAATTTTTTTCACCATTTTCCCTCCATTTTTCCTCATTTTTTCCCAATTTTTTCCCAAATTTTTCTCAATTTTTTCCCCAATTTTTCCCCAATTTTTTCCCCAATTTTTCCAAATTTTTTTCTCTATTTTTCCACAATTTTTCCCATTTTTTCCCAAATTTTTCTCGATTTTTTCACCGTTTTTCTTCCATTTCTTCCCAATTTTTTTCCCAATTTTTTCCCAACTTTTCCCCAATTTCTCCCCATTTTTTTCCCATATTTTTCCCAATTTTTTCTCCATTTTTCCCCAATTTTTTTGCAGCTTTTCCCCAATTCTTCCCATTTTTTCCCCAATTTTTTCCCAAATTTTTTCCAATTTTTTCCCAAATTTTTCTCAATTTTTCCCAATTTTTTCCCAATTTTATTCCCATTTTTCCCCCATTTTTTTCCCAACTTTTCCCCAATTTTTCCCAATTTTTTCACCGTTTTCCCCCCATTTTTTCCCAAATTTTTCTCAATTTTTTCCCCATTTTTTCCCAATTTTTTCCCAACTTTTCCCACTTTTTCCCTAATTTTTCCCAATTTTTTTCACCATTTCTCCTCCATTTTTTCCCCAATTTTTTCCCAATTTTTTCCCAACTTTTCCCCATTTTTTCCCCAATTTTTCCAAATTTTTTTTCCATATTTTTCCCAATTTTTTCCCATTTTTTTCCCCCCATTTTTCCCCAATTTTTTCCCATTTTTCCCCAATTTTTCCCAATTTTTTTCACCATTTTTCCTCCATTTTCCCTCCATTTTTCCTCATTTTTTCCCAATTTTTTCCCAAATTTTTCTCAATTTTTTCTCCATTTTTCCCCAATTTTTTCCCCAACTTTTCCCCATTTTTTCCCCAATTTTTTCCCAATTTTTCCAAATTTTTTCTCCATTTTCCACAATTTTTCCCATTTTTTCCCCTAATTTTTCTCAATTTTTTCTCCATTTTGCCCCAATTTTTTCCCAGCTTATCCCCCAATTTTTCCCCTATTTTTCTCCATTTTCCCTCATTTTTTTCCCATTTTTCCCCAATTTTTCCCCAATTTTCTTTCCATTTTCCCCCATTTTTTCCCCAATTTTTCGCCAATTTATTCCCATTTTTTCCCCATTTTTTTCCCAATTTTCCCCCAATTTTCTCCCATTTTTTCCCCAATTTTCCCCCATTTTTTTCCCCATTTTTTCCCAATTTCATCCCATTTTTTTCCCATTTTTCCCCAATTTTCCCCCAATTTTCCCCCAATGTTCCCCCAATTTTCCCCCAATTTTCCCCCAATTTTTCCCCCATTTTCCCCCAATTTTCCCCCAATTTCCCCCAATTTTCCCCCCATTTCCCCCTTTTCCCGCATTCCCACCTGCCGGGGCTGCTCCGTCAGGCGCTGGGGGTCGCTCCTCACCTTGTTGCCGGGGTGATTGGTTACCTTGGTTACCGGCTGTTTGAAGATGGACGCCGTCTGCCGGATGGGCAGCGCCGTGTTCAGGTCCGGCTTCCCCTGCGAGAAACACCCGGGAAAAACACGGGAATCACGCCGGGATTCGGCGGGAAAATGCCGGGATTTGGCGGGAAAATGCCGGGATTCGGCGGGAAAAACGTGCCGAGGATTTGGCGGGAAAACGAGGCGGATATGGCGGGAAAACGTGGAAGATTTGGAGAGAAAAGTGGGACTGAGGCAAGGAGTTGGCGGGAAAATGGGGAGGATTTGGAGGGAAAACGAGGGAGGATTTGGAGGGAAAATGGGGAGGATTTGGCGGGAAAAGCAGGAATAAGTCGAAAATTTGGCGGGAAGAGGGGGGGATTTGGCGGGAAAAATGCGGAGGACTCACCAGGAAAAGTGGGAATGAAGTGGAAATTTGGCGGGAAAATGGGGGGATTTGGTGGGAAAATGGGGGGGATTTGGCGGGAAAAGGGGGATGAAGGTGGAGTTTTGGCGGGAAAAACGTGCAGAGGATTTGGAGGGAAAATGGGGGGATTTGGCGGGAAAAACGGGCAGAGGATTTGGCGGGAAAATGAAGGGAAAAAAATAGGAAAAAATGGGACAAAAATTGGGGAAAAAATAGGAAAAATCAGGAAAAAAATTGAAAAAAATTGGGAAAAAAATGGTAAAAAATGGGGGAAAAAAAAGGGAAAAAAATGGGAAAAAATGGGAAAAAAATGGAAAAAAAATAGGGAAAAAATGGGGAAAGAAATGGGGAAAAATTGTGGAAAAAATGGGAAAAAATGGGGAAAAAAGTGTGAAAAAAATGGGAATAAATGGGGAAAAAATGGGAAAAAAATTGGAATAAATGGGAAAAAATGGGGGAAAAATGGGGAAAAAAATGGGAAAAAAATGGGAAAAATATGGGAAGAAAATAAGAATAAATGGGAAAAAAATGCAGAAAAAATGGGGAAAAAATGTGGAAAAAATGGGAATAAATGGGGAAAAAATGGGGAAAAAAATGCAAAAAAATTGCAAAAAAATTGGAAAAAATGGGGAAAAAAATGGGAAAAAAATGGGAAAAAATGGGAAAAAAATGGGGAAAAAAATGCAAAAAAAATGGGAAAAAATGGGGAAAAAATGGGAAAAAAATGGGAAAAAAATGCAAAAAAAATGCAAAAAAATGGGAAAAAATGGGAAAAAACCGGGAAAAGTTTGGGCAAACTTTTGGAATTGTTCTGGCTGACCTTGTTGGGGTTGAGGGCGTCGTTCCTCAGGCGTTGTTTGTTCTTTTGCAGCTTGCTGGGCATCATCTTCCCCGTGCGGAAATCGAAGGAGCTCAGATCCACGGAATTGCCGAGGTAGCGAGCCAGCTGCGGCTTGCTGCGGAACTTCTTCCCACTGGGGCTGCCAAACAGGGATAAAATAACTGGAATTGCTGCTTTGGACAAAATGGAAATTTTGGGGGGGTGCAGGGGGATTCTTGGGAATTTTTTGGGAATTTTTGGGATTTTTTTGGGATTTTTTGGGGATTTCTTGGGATTTTTTTGAGATTTTATTGGGATTTTTTTGGGATTTTTTAGGAATTTTTTTGGGATTTTTTCGGGATTTTTTTGGGATTTCTTGGGAATTTTTTGGGGATTTTTTGGGAATTTTTTGAGATTTTTTGGGGGATTTTTTGGGAATTTTTTGGGATTTTTTTGGAATTTCTGGGGATTTTTTTGGGAATTTTTTAGGGTTTTTTTCGATTTTTTTTTGATTTTTTAGGGATTTTTGGGGGGATTTTTTAGGGATTTTTTTGCGATTTTTTGAGATTTTTTTGGGATTTTTTTGGAATTTTTGGGGGATTTTTTGGGATTTTTTGGGGATTTTTTGAGATTTTTTTTGAGATTTTTTGGGGATTTTTTGGGGATTTTTGGGGAATTTTTTTGGGATTTTTTTGCGATTTTTTGGGGATTTTTTAAGGTTTTTTTGGGATTTTTTGGGAATTTTTGGGGAATTTTTAAGGGATTTTTTGGGAATTTTTGGGATTTTTTTGAGATTTTTTGGGGATTTTTTGGGGATTTTTTGGAGGATTTTTTGGAGTTTTTTAAGGAATTTTTGGGGATTTTTTTGAGATTTTTTAGGGAATTTTTGGGGAATTTTTTGGGGATTTTTTGCAGATTTTTTGGGAATTTTTGGGGATTTTTTGGAGATTTTTTGCTGTGGAACTTCTTCCCACTGGGGCTGCCAAACAGGGATAAAATAACTGGAGTTGCTGCTTTGGACAAAATGGGAATTTTGGGGGGGTGCAGGGGGATCCTTGGGAATTTTTTGGGAATTTTTTGGGATTTTTTGGGGATTTTTTGGGGATTTTTTTGGAATTTTTTAGGGTTTTTTTCGATTTTTTTTGGAATTTTTTAGGTTTTTTTGGGGGGTTTTTTGGGGAATATTTTGTAGGATTTTTGTGGAATTTTTGGAAATTTTTGAGGATTTTTTGGGAATTTTTTGGGATTTTTTTTAATTTTTTAAGGGTTTTTTGAGATTTTTTTGTAATTTTTGAGGGATTTTTTGGGATTTTTTTGGGATTTTTTTGGGAATTTTTTGGGGATTTTTTTGGGGATATTTTTGGATTTTTGGGGAATTTTTTGGGGATTTTTTGAGGATTTTTTGGGAATTTTTTGGGGATTTTTTTGGGATTTTTTGGGATTTTTTGAGGATTTTTTGGAGATTTTTAAGAAATTTTTTGTGGTTTTTTTGAGATTTTTTAGGGAATTTTTGGGGAATTTTTCGGGAATTGTTAAGGGATTTTTTGCAGATTTTTTGAAAATTTTTGGGAATTTTTGGGGATTTTTTGGGAATTTTTTGGGATTTTTTTGGGAATTTTTTGGGGATTTTTTTGGGATTTTTTGGAGGATTTTTTGGAGTTTTTTAAGGAATTTTTTGGGATTTTTTTGAGATTTTTTAGGGAATTTTTTGGGAATTTTTAAGGGATTTATTTGCGGATTTTTTGGGAATTTTTGGGAATTTTTGGGGATTTTTTGGAGATTTTTTGCTGCGGAACTTCTTCCCACTGGGGCTGCCAAACAGGGATAAAAAAACTGGAGTTGCTGCTTTGGACAAAATGGGAATTTTGGGGGGTGCAGGGGGATTCTTGGGAATTTTTTGGGAATTTTTTGGGATTTTTTGGGGATTTTTTGGGATTTTTAGGGATTTTTTTTGAATTTTTTAGGGTTTTTTTGGGGTTTTTTTTGGGAATTTTTTGGGGATTTTTTGGGGATTTTTTGGGATTTTTTGGAGATTTTTTGGGGATATTTTGGGGATTTTTTGGGGATTTCTTGGGAATTTTTTGGGGATTTTTTGGGGATTTTTTGGGATTTTTTTGAGATTTTTTGGGGATATTTTGGGGATTTTTTGGGGATTTCTTGGGAATTTTTGGGGATTTTTTGGAGAATTTTTTGGGATTTTTTGGGATTTTTTTGCGATTTTTTGGGGATTTTTGGGGAATTTTTGGGGATTTTTTTGAGGATGTTTTGGAGAATTTTTTGGGATTTTTTGGGATTTTTTTGAGATTTTTTTTGGGAATTTTTAGGGATTTTTTTGGGATTTTTTGAGATTTTTTTTGAATTTTTTAGGGGTTTCTTGGGAATTTTTTGAGGATTTTTTTAGAAATTTTCGGGGATTTTTTGGGAATTTTTGGGGGATTTTTTGGGGATTTTTTGGGATTTTTTGGGAATTTTTGGGGATTTTTTTGAGATTTTTTAGGGAATTTTTGGGGAATTTTTAAGGGATTTTTTGGGGATTTTTTGGGAATTTTTGGGGATTTTTTGGAGATTTTTTGCTGCGGAACTTCTTCCCACTGGGGCTGCCAAACAGGGATAAAAAAACTGGAATTGCTGCTTTGGACAAAATGGGAATTTTGGGGGGTGCAGGGGGATTCTTGGGAATTTTTTGGGAATTTTTTGAGAATTTTTGGGGGATTTTTTCGATTTTTTTTGAATTTTTTAGGGTTTTTTTAGGGGGTTTTTCAGGGATTTTTTGGGGATTTTTTTGGGATTTTTTGGGAATTTTTTGGGGATTTTTTTGGAATTTTTTGGGATTTTTTTAGGGGTTTTTTCGATTTTTTTTTGATTTTTTAGGGATTTTTGGGGGGATTTTTTAGGGATTTTTTTGCGATTTTTTGAGATTTTTTGGGGATTTTTTTGGAATTTTTGAGGGATTTTTTGGGGATTTTTGGGGATTTTTTGAGATTTTTTTTGAGATTTTTTGGGGATTTTTTGGGGATTTTTGGGGAATTTTTTTGGGATTTTTTTGCGATTTTTTGGGGATTTTTTAAGGTTTTTTTGGGATTTTTTTGGGAATTTTTGGGGAATTTTTAAGGGATTTTTTGGGAATTTTTTTGCGATTTTTTGGGGATTTTTTAAGGTTTTTTTGGGATTTTTTGGGATTTTTTTGCGATTTTTGGGGGATTTTTTGGGGATTTTTTGGAGTTTTTGGGGGATTTTTTTCGAATTTTTTACGAATTTTTTGGGATTTTTTGGGGATTTTTTTGGGGATTTTTAAAGGAATTTTTTTGGGATTTTTTGGGATTTTTTTGGGGATTTTTTGGGATTTTTTTGGGGATTTTTTAAGAATTTTTTGGGGATTTTTTAGGGATTTTTTAAAGGATTTTTTGGGATTTTTCGGGGATTTTTTGGGATTTTTTTAAGGATTTTTTTGGATTTTTGGGGATTTTTTTGGAATTTTTTTGGGATTTTTCTGGGATTTTTTGGGGGATTTTTTGGGGATTTTTTTGGGGTTTTTTGGGATTTTTGGGGGATTTTTTTGGGATTATTTTGGGATTTTTTGGAGATTTTTTTGGGATATTTTGGGGATTTTTTGGGGATTTCTTGGGGATTTTTGGGGATTTTTTGGAGAATTTTTTGGGATTTTTTGGGATTTTTTTGAGATTTTTTTTGGGAATTTTTAGGGATTTTTTTGGGATTTTTTGAGATTTTTTTTGAATTTTTTAGGGGTTTCTTGGGAATTTTTTGAGGATTTTTTTAGAAATTTTCGGGGATTTTTTGGGAATTTTTGGGGGATTTTTTGGGGATTTTTTGGGATTTTTTGGGGATTTTTTGGGGATTTTTTTGAGATTTTTTAGGGAATTTTTGGGGATTTTTTGAGATTTTTTTTTAATTTTTTAGGGGTTTTTTGGGAACTTTTTGAGGATTTTTTTGGAAATTTTCGGGGATTTTTTGGGAATTTTTGGGGGATTTTTTGGGGATTTTTTGGAGGATTTTTTGGAGTTTTTTAAGGAATTTTTGGGGATTTTTTTGAGATTTTTTAGGGAATTTTTGGGGAATTTTTAAGGGATTTTTT